TTAACTGCAAATAACAACTTCCACTTTTCCTTTCACCTCTTTAAGGAGAAGCGCAGTGCAATCCTCTGTATGTTTGTTCCGTACGAGTTCAGGGAGACTTGCTTCCACAAGAGTGTGTAGGATTGTAGCATTAGGCTTACTTTGGAATAGAAGCCTCTGAGTAAGTTCCATTGGGTTAGTTCTTTGGGGCTAGTTTAAGTAGACGTGTAGGATTGTGTTGTTAAGCTTGCAACACAATGCACCAGGCGTTATTGGTACTGTCCCCAAAAAGGTTTTTCAAATGACTGCTACATATGCAGTTTATTCTCTCTTCCCATCACACACACACACATACACCAAAAACCTGTTTGTCTTCCACTTATGTACACATCCTTCACTCCCCCAAAATCTGGATGTATACTTAGTACAAAGAAACCACTAGTCCAGGGGCAGGCAACCTACGGCCCCGGGGGCCGGATGCGGCCCAATCACCTTCTCAATCCGGCCCGTGGATGGTCCAGGAATCAGCGTGTTTTTACATGCATAGAATGTGTGCTTTTATTTAAAATGCATCTCTGGGTTATTTGCAGGGCATAGGAATTCATTCATATTTTTTTTCAAAATATAGTCTGGCCCACCACATGGTCTGAGGGACAGTGGACTGACTCCCTACTGGAAAAGACCTACCCACGGCTGAAAAAGGTTGCTGACCCCTGCAACCTTCACTGCTTACTTACTGTTTAGTGCAAAGTGGGTTTGCCGTGTTGTTCTGTTGGTGAATGAGGAGCAGAAAAAGGGCCATATGATGAAACCTTTGCTGTATCAGTTTTTATACACACATACATTTGTATTTGGCTAAATATGTTGTGTGTTTTTTAAACAGAATCTTCACAAAATGATGTACATAAAAGCAAAAGTAAAAATGTAAGAAAGAAAGCCCATTTTGCAAAGAAGTAATATATCAAGAGGTTACCAGGGTAGCTTGTCCTTATTCATCCTCTTGGCTAGGTTATTTGAGAAATGTGACCTTTTGACTTGTGCTTAACTTTGGTCTCTGGCTTCCCTGCCTGCAGCTCCCTAAGAACTGCTATGGGAACAGTTCTGCAGCCTCCAAGAAAATGAGGTGATGAAGGGCAAGGAGGATGGAAAGAGAAGGGAGATTATATGGCTATTAATCAATTGTTTTGGCATTGTGATGGTAAAAAGTGCCCTATCTGTGGGAACAAATAAAATCATTATTAACGTAGCACAACCTGGGTGTGTGGCACTTTAAAAAGCAACATAAGCAAAATATAAGTACCTCCTGCCAAGCCTCTTATAATCTCTTAATTTAGATCAAGAAGTTGGAGAGAGGCAAGAAAATTTTGTTACTCATGTAAAGCAGAATCTTATACACACTTAACCTTGAAGTGATTATTAATGGCATTTCTGAGTAGAGGTGTTTAGGATTGCTCCATTACTCTTCATCCCCGATGGGGGGGGGACTAATGGTACAATCACTTATCCCATTTACTTGGGAATAAGCCCCAGTGAATTCCATTAAATGGACTTCTGAGTAGACATGGGTAGGGTTGCACAGTAAGGGGTTACACGAGCGGCCTCAAAGAAGTGCGTTTTGAGTTGGGATCTGGAGGACGAGAGTAAGGTAGCAACATTGGCTGTGATCTTTAGAAGCTGAGTCACAAATCAGAAGTCCTCGGTTTTCTGTGCAAACTATTATCAACATTGAATTTGCTTCTGTTTTTAAGCAAAGGCAAATCTGCCTTTAAGGCTTCTTATTTTGGATATTTGAACGGTTGAGACGCAACTGATCTAACTAAATTGGAGTACCTACTCTTGCTTAATAACATAACTACCATGCTAACTTGTACCATGTTTAACAAAGACCATCATTCTTTACAAGAACCCCACAGGCATTTGGTGTTTGCTGTGGACTGCCATCTCCCTTGTGTCCATCCCTGATACAAAGAACCAGCCTCTGCTCAGGAATATGAAAAGTGTGAACCCCTCTATCATAACAGCACAAAACTGGGGTACTACCCAAAGCTCTCACAGCTTTGTGTTGTTGTTTTGTTGTTGTTCACAGAGATTTTGAAGCATAGAATTTTGGCAGGTGGCAAGAGTCAGGGAAGACAGTCATCCTTATGAGATAACTACTGACTCTCTTGCACGTTTTTCTGTGTGCAAGAAAGTACCGGTATGTTAAGAGGGTACAGGCCAGGGGGCTTGCATGGATGGGGCAGGCTACACAGTGACAGTAGGCTCTTGGCATATTGGCTTTGTCTGTTTGGCAGTGGATAAAGTTTTAAGTGTTAGAATCACAGAATTTTTGGAAGGGACTTTGAAAGTTGAAGTAAATTAATCTGTTTTAGTGTGTTAACCTTTGTATGTTTCAAAGTACTTTGGAATTTTTTCTTGATTTCGCTGTTTCATCTTTTGGTAAACTGGGGTTTTTGTTGTTGTTTTACACAATCAAGTGGTGTATAAATTTTATAAAATAAGTAATTTAGTCATTGATCCAGATCAATACGCATAGTAGTCCTGGGCTGAGCTTCATCTAGAGCAGTTTCCCAAACTTGGGTCTCCAGCTGTTTTTGGACTACAACTCCCATCATCCCTAGCTAGCAGGACCAGTGGTAAGGGATGATAGGAATTGTAGTCCACAAACAGCTGTTTGGGAAACTCTGATCTAGAGTAGCTCAAGGCACCTCCAACAGCTAGGCTAACTCTTCCCTCCCCAGCAGCACTCTGCAGGAAAATTTCCCCACCTCCCTGGGAACAGTGACTGAAGTATGCTCCCTGCTCAGTCTAATTGTAGTGTGAGGGGCATTTTGGGGTGGGGCATCATGCACCTGGCCCATATGACTTGCTTAAAGCAGTCCTAGCATCAGTTGGCAATCTCACCATAAAGGGACAGTGCCATTTGAAAGCACCTGTGTTAAGTAAAATCAATATGGTATGGCTGGACTAGATTATCCAATGTACCCCATATGTACCAATGTACCAATAACTTCTGTTTTTTCAGGTTCCAATGCAGTGGATTGACAGCATTTGCCACAAGTAAGTAATCCTTTCCTTACAGTATATATGCTTTGATTAAGGAAGGGATGCTAGAGATTAGATGCCGAAGTCCTGAAAACTAGCCCAGAAACTTTGGTTGGTTGGGTTCTTTCCATTCTCTTTGCAGTCTGCAAAGTATAAAAGCCTTATATTGGTCCAAATGTAATTCTAGCAGCTGTCTGAATACTGATAAGGTTTTCTGCTTTATGGGATCTGGTACCACACATCATCCCCAAGTGCAATTCTTATTGAAAATGCTAAGAACTCCAAATGACTCAGACTGGTGTGAATTAGCATTGCTTCCTTCTCGATGGACCTAAGTAAAGGTAAAGGTACCCCTGCCCGTACGGGCCAGTCTTGACAGACTCTAGGGTTGTGCGCCCATCTCACTCAAGAGGCCGGGGGTCAGCGCTGTCCGGAGACACTTCCGGGTCACGTGGCCAGCGTGACATCGCTGCTCTGGCAAGCCAGAGCCACACACGGAACGCCGTTTACCTTCCCGCTAGTAAGCGGTCCCTATTTATCTACTTGCACCCGGGAGTGCTTTCAAACTGCTAGGTTGGCAGGCGCTGGGACCGAACAACGGGAGCGCACCCCGCCGCGGGGATTCAAACGGCCGACCTTTCGATCGGCAAGCCCTAGGCGCTGAGGCTTTTACCCACAGCGCCATCCGCGTCCCTCTCGATGGACCTACGCATCAGCAAATCAACCTGGTGCCAAGAGGAGAGATGCCTCCACTCATTCCAAGCTCCCCACAACCCAATGTAAGGCAGTTTGGAGTGCTCTGCCCATTTCAAATATACTTTTTATTATATCCATACAATAGGAATATATTTTTCTATTGACCTTAGGGAGACACTCCAGGAATTCCAAATGGCCTTGGCTTGAGATAGCATTGGGCTTGGAATTGTGCACATAGGCAGGCACAGTCAAGCTTCATACTTTGGGAACGCTACTCCCAGCTATTGTGTTTACCATCCCAGAGAAATTTACTTGGTTCTCTCTCTTTCATTCTTATTTTCTTTCTTTCTTGCCAGGGTTAGAATTTGAAAAGGGACCAGCTTTTTGAGGCTCCATGAACAGCTCAAACAGCCGCCTAGAGAGGCGGAAGGAACAATGTCATGCCAGCTGCAGTATAAATTACCAATTAGAAAAGCTGTCATGGGTGTGTTTCATGTGAGGACAAAGCATGGGCTGTTTACGACCAGAAGGCCAGAGGGATGTGCGTATGCACGCCTGCTGCTCCCATAAAGATAGCCTTTATCTTTCTACTCTAAAGTGGAGAAAGCCACAAACTTTTATTAAGAGTTTAAACTTTTTATTTTCGAATAGAAAGGATGAAACTATTAACACAAGCCAAATAGTGTTAGCTCAAAGGGGCTTTGTAAAAATTAAAAAAATATCAGTTTATAGTTATTTGGGGTCTGTTGAATTGCACCTCCTAAAAAGTATTGCATTACCTGTTTGGTGTGCTCAATATTGTAATCCATCTTAATTGTACAAGGGAGCGATCCTGGCTCCCGTCCAGGAGAGGTGACGCCACAGCTGCATTCAAAGCCCTGCTGTGAAAGCCAGTCAGGCTGCAAGGTAGGGGTGGGTGGTTTCTTCCCCATTTTGCAGAAAGAGCCAGTTCAAGCCCATCACTGGTAGATGAACTTGCTGAACTTGGGTCACAGTGGGTCTTCAGTCAGCTCAGCTCCGTCCCTCCCTGCCACAGAAATATCCCTATTCTGTTGCCAGTGGGGATCTCATTGATGGCAGTTTCCACCCACCTTCAATTTTGGTTGTTGTTGTTTAGTCGTTTAGTCGTGTCCGACTCTTCGTGACCCCATGGACCAGAGCACGCCAGGCACCTCTGTCCTCCACTACTTCAATTTTGGTAGGTGTAGTTAGAATACATATTGGTGGATCCCAGAAAATGGACACAATTGCTGCTTCCTAACCCGTTCCAAGGTGGATTGCTCTGTGAGGCTGCAGTCATGTGCATACTCATCTGGGAGTAAGCCCTGTTGAACATATGAGCTCTGTTGAACATGGTGGGAATTACATCTGAGTAAATATGCATAGCGTCACGTTGTAAAGCAAGCAGGGATGAACGGATCAGTTTATTTCTGGTGCATATCAATTTTGTGTGCTAATTCATAAGTCAGTTCTGTCCCATTTTTGCATTCTGCAGCTTTTTGCCATCTGCAAATTTCATATTTAAATATGCGTTTTATATTGGTTATCCTAAAGTGTTTGTTTATCCAAGTGTTTATATACGGCTCTCTTGCAGAACATCAGGGCAGCATATAGCAATACAAAGACCTTTAAAAGCAATCATTAAAATTTGCTTAGGTCGCTAGTATTTTTAAACCACTGCATAGGACTATTAGCAACCCCCGTCCCCTCCCCTGCACAGAGAACATTGGACTGTATGGAACTTAATTATTCTCATGGTAGACCTATTGAGATTGATAGACCCAAGTTAGTCATGTCAGTTATTTTGAATGGGTGTCCTCTGAGTAGGGCTAACATTAGATGAAATGACATTTGAAGAAATACGAAATCTAAATGAAAACTTCATTCCAATCACACAGTATTCTGGAAGGTGAGGATCAGGTATGTTCACATTCCTTAAAGCAAGTAACTGGGAAATTAGATGAGCGAAGCAAACGTAGGGATACAGAATTGGTGAAAGTTATAATAGGTACTGCTTCTTCTCTCCAGCTCCTCTCCTGTCAATGGAAGTAGTCAGTGACTACGTTGATTGGGATATTGATCATGCGGGCTTTGTCCAGAAAAATTACTTTACAGGCTGCCACCTTTTTAACAGGAGATGCCTGGACTTGAATCTCTTGTGTGCAAAACCATGCGATTTAAACCTTGGGCTATGGCCCTTCTTACCTCAAAACCAGCTTTTAAAATATGCACTCCCCCTTTTTTCCCAGCTCAGTGTGGGTGTCACAAAATCTTCACACAAAGAAGAAAGCAAAAAAAAAAAAAAGGAGGGCGAGGGGGTTTCGGTGGAGAGAGAAGACTACAGCTGCGTACGCCAAAGGATGGGGTATTGTTGGTGAAACCCATCTGAGTAATAGCTAGGGAAACAGGGCAAGTTGCTTTCCTGCATTCACATTTAGGAAAATTAGGGTTTTCAGTAAGATAGAATATTAGCATATTCCCCCACAGGAAGGTTGTACAGGAAAACAGGAAGCAGGTGGTAATTACTGATAATGGGATAATTGTTGTATTGTGTGATCTCTACCCCTCTCCTGCCATTTTGCTTTAGGAGCTCCCCAGAAAGATAGTTTTAAGCATGTTGTATCTAAGCAACACTGCAAGCGGGGCCATCTTTTGTTTGCCTTTTGCAATGACCTGGGAATGGGATTTGCTAGCATTTCACGTTTGCTTTACGTCCATCTAGGACATCCGCAGAATGGGAAACAATGATTCTATCACTTTTATTCTTTCCTTCTTTAAACAAAACATAGTTTGCAATATAGCTGTTCTAGTTTGCACGTGACACTTCTAATTTGCATAGAATTTGCATGACACTACTGTACCTATTTTACAGATGGGGACCAGAATCATTTCAGAAAGCAGCCACAGATTTCCAGTGGGGACATCACATGAATCTTTCCCCTGGGATTGGAGCTCATTCTGTGGTTCGACGTCACTCAACTGGCCCTGACCGTCCCACTGAATCATTTAAATGTTAACATAGCCACATGGAAGCTACTGCTGCATGGCTAGGGCTGTAGCTGGCAGAAATCGAAAGTTAAGACTGGGGAGAGCTTGGTTCAAATCTCCGCTCAGCTATGAAGCTCGCTGGGTGACCTTGAGCCTGTTACATGCTTTCTCTCCCTACCTCACAGGGTAGTTGTGAAAATAAAGTGTGTGTGTGTGTGTGTGTGTGTGTGTGTGTGTAAGAATTTGTAAGACACCCTGGGGTCCTTGGAGGAGAGGTGGGATAAAACAATAAAACTTGCCTAAATGCTTTAAAGCAGCCACGTCCAACCTGGTGCCTTCCAGATATTTTGGACTACAACACCTACCCAGCTGAGGCTGATGGGAGTTGTAGTCTAAAACTGTTGGAAGGCACCAGGTTGGGGGGGAGGCTGCTCTAAAGGATTGAAGCAAAGGTGTTTTACACTTTCAGGATTGATCTCAAATCCATGACATTGGTAGCTAGGCAACAAACAAACAGCTTACATTTCTAGGAAACTCCCTCTGACACACGCATATACACTCACACTTTGCTTTGAGATTGCTGTGAGGAAATGAGGCCTCTGGAATAATTGGTGCAGAGCCAGATGGCAGCATGTGCAATAGCCATGCATAAAGGCAGCATTTAGAAACAGTTTCCCTGAAGTCTTGTCTCTCTTGAAATTGCTTCTTGGGAGATAGACATCTGTTATCTGCAGCATCCACATTGGATTCTCTGCAGTTGTCCTATGTCTTTTTTGCCGTTGTTTTTTTTTTAAAGGTTTATCAGCACAGGACAGAAGGGTGTTGTCTCAGGAAGAGTGCTAGCTTTGTATAAAAAAAATAATCACACACAGCATAGAGATTTGAAGAAGAAAACAGCGCTGAGCCTTTGAAAACATTAGCATCACCTTGCATTTGCACAGAGATATTACACGGGTTGTGTAATATCTTGCCATGACAGAAAATCTGGTCTGGATTTGCAAACATGAGATAGTCGTCCTAAGTACAGAGCTCTGGCTTGGGAGCTAGGAGATGCGAGATTTCCCCCCACCCTTGTCTTATCATCACATTTCTAACATCCAATGTGCAGGTAATAAAAAGAAGATTAATCTCTTGTGTTAGTGCCATTCTGAAGTTTGCAGAGCATATAGAGGAGCTTAAGTGGGAATTGGTTGGGAAGCGCAGAGTTTAATTGTTGTTCTTTTGTGTTTGCTGCTGTGTGTGGTATCCCTTAATCTGTAGGCACTGAGGCAGCGCTTGTGTTATTCCTTGTATTTTCAAGGTCGCTATACAATGGATGGAAGGACAGACTCATTGGTGATGACTGTGCACTTGCTTGCCAAATGTGGACACGCGTTGCCCTTGCAGCAAGCCCTCAATCAGCTTCAAGAATGGATCTGCCTGGACGTGCGCCTCTTCCTTGTCTCGGAACGCACTTCTCCCATTAAGTATTATGAGACGTACCGCCAGAGGAGCTCCAGGTTCCCTGGGACATCTGTCCTACTTTTCCTGCATGAGGACTTGGGGGAAGAGCGGATTTTCCAAGTCCACGACTTTTTCCAGCGGCCGCCGTGGCAGAGAGTCCACCTGGAGATTGCCAGCAGGAAGCTGTCCTCCCATGCCCTTGACGGCCAGGACTTCTACGGGCTGGACGAGCACATGCCCGTGTGGGGACTGAGGCAGGTTCATTACGGCACGGAAATCCTGCGCGTCACGCTCTACTGTAGCTTTGATAACTACGCCGATGCAGTGAGGCTCTACGAGACGATCCTGCAGAAGGAAGCGACCGTGCAGAAAAGCAGCTTCTGTGCCTTCGTACTGTACGTGACGGAGAGCATTGCGGTCCAGCTCTGCTTGAAGCAGCTGCCTCTGGGAATATGCGTTGACTCGAAGGAGTCTTCGGTGTTGCAGTTCAAGGTGCATGAAATCGGACAGCTGGTGCCGCTTCTGCCTAATCCCTGCATTCCTATTAGCAGCACTAGGTGGCAAACCGAAGACTACGAAGGGAACAAGATCCTGTTTCAGGTATTGCTTGGTTTATAAATGGTGGGCGCAGTCTGCAAGGGGGAATGGCCGTAGCTCAGGGGACAGAGCATTCGCTTTGCATGCAGAAGGTCCCCGGTTCAATTCCCAGCATCTCCATGTAGGGCTGAGAAATAATTCTGTCTGAAACCCTAGAGACCCACTGCCAGTTGATATAGACCATACTGAGCTAAATGGACCAAAGGTGTTGACTCAGAATAAGGCAGATCCCTATGTACCGCCGATGAACCTCTCTTTACTGCATTAGATATTGCATTAACACAGCAGCAGACACTGTGCTAGACTGCTTGGTGTTGATGGTTTCTTGAATTATGATCGTAATGCTCTCTGAATTTATTCATAACCCTTTTTCCCCTTTTGCGTTTATTTCTTTTAAAAACGAGGATGCCCATGTTCCTGTACCCCAGTTAAAGCTGAATATTTATGTTGGGATTTCTCTCCTGCCTTCATCCTGAGTCACAACATTAAAACAACGGTTTTTACTCCAACGAAACTGGGAAGCGTATTGCGGAAGTCTAATAGGAATTAAAATTCCTCATACTTGCTTTGTCCTTAGCCATTAAAAGACAAATAACATGCTAAAATGCTTCTGGGAAGTGTCTGGACTTCAGCGTGCTTGTCGGCAAGTCAGTTACTATTTTGCAAAAATACGTCTCCCAGGGAGGGGGTGTAGTGGTATTTAAGTACTTAATTTGTTCCGGAGGTCCGTTCTTAACCTGAAACTGTTCTTAACCTGAAGCACCACTTTAGCTAATGGGGCCTCCTGCTGCCACCACACCACCAGAGCATGATTTCTGTTCTCATCCTGAAGCAAAGTTCTTAACCTGAAGCACTATTTCTGGGTTAGCAGAGTCTGCAACCTGAAGCGTATGTAACCTTAAGCTTATGTAACCTGAGGTACCACTGTATTACAAAACACACTTTAAGAAAATGCCACAAATCACTGTTATAGCTATATGTGAAAAATGTTTGTGAACTTAACTGCATGGACCAACTCCAATGCATTAGGGAGTTTTGTAGTTTGGGGGCAGTAACAGGAACACACACTCTCTATTTTCTTGTTTTTCTTGGTCTTTGTACATGGTTGGTATATCTTACTGGTGCCGTGTGTTTCATCTCTTACCAATCTATATTCATAAAAAGACTTTTAAAGTCAGGTCTGGGAGCCTGTGGCTGTCTGTATGGTAGACTACAACTCCCATAATCCCTGATCATTGGCCATACTTGATAGGGGGGACTGATGGAAGTTGGGAGTCCAACATCATCTGGAGGACCACCCTGTTCCAACTGCTTTCATAACACAAAACGCTTTGGTTTACATCTACATCCAGTGTTAAGGTAATGCATCAGAGCCATAAGTATTGCTCATGGGCTGCCACCTCGTGGCTATGGTTTGTTGTGTTCTGTAGCTCAACAAAAGCATCTCACTGTGAGTGGGGCATATTTGGCAAATGCTGCTTTCATGAAATGCCTCAACCAGTCTAATATAACAAGGAGACATCTCAACTGTAAGTGAAGGTGCATGAGGGCAGCACTCTTAGGACGCCACAACCTCTGGACAACTGCTGGGTACAATGCTGCATCTGGGGACTTTAGAGGCAGGTCCAATGGGGAGGATACTCAGGAGTGGGAAAGCAGACACCGGTGCAAAGGAAAGACTTTACTAAGGAGGAGGAAAGAGTTCTAGACTGCAGAAGAAGGAAATAAAGGAAAGAGGTTGTCTTCAACCTCAACAAGGGCTGAGGAACCAGAGGAAGGAAGAGGAAGAGTCTGGGGCTGTTAATTCTATTGGTGAGCCAAGAGAAGAGAAAGGAAGGAAGAAGGAACATAGGGAAAGTGTATATTCACATAGAAAGCAATCTGGTGATGAAATGGGGTAAGCAGATTCTGAGCAAGGGCCTCAGCACAAAGTCTGAGCATCTTTGGGACCCGTTAGGCAGGGCAACCTTGAGATTTAGATTCTGAAGTATGAAATACTTCAGCTTTACACAAAAAGCTGCCATTTGAAATCCAGAGGTGACCAAGTTGGTGAATCAACTAGGTGCCCTAGGCTTAAGAGAATTTTCTGTGATTCTAGTTAAGCTGCTAAGTTTATTGAGCATGAATCTGCCATGTAGGTGTGCCAATAGTAACACTGAATATGAACCTGGGTCCATCACTCAGCTCTGGCATGCAATTGTTCAAATCTGTGTTTCTCCTTCATTTTCTCCTCTGTCCATTCAGAGAATAATATTGGTTTGGAGGGTTTCCCCCCCTGATGGATTAATAAAGATTGCCATAAGGGCAAGAAATGCTTTCACCAAAAGGATTTAAAGCATTAGAAAGCATGGCCCTCACTGAATACTGTTTTCAAGTGGTGTCCTAATGATAGTTCGTGTTTGTACGTTCTCACAGGTATATGTTCGGATTAATAGACCTTAAAGTTCATTGCAAAAACCAATTATAATGTTGTTTCATAACATCACATTTTGTAACAGCAGCACTGTATTGAATCTAAAAACTATCTATGCCAGTTTCATAAGAAAAATACAAACATACATAATACGTCACTTTATGCCATCTTCTTCCATGAGTTTTTGTCCTTCATTAATTGGATATGATTTTAAAGTTCTTGGTAGAAGCCTCTTTAACTATTGATTTGTGGATGATGGTTCCACAGGGGCAGGTGGAGACTTGATCACCTGACGGATGATGCTTAACCTCATTTTTTTGTTTTATAGGTTCAAGGCAACTCAAAGCACACTGGGAATCAAGACTCCTCTTCCAGCTGGCACAGCCATGAACACGAGGAAGGGCCCCTTCACTACCCCTCCAGCCCATCTCCACTGGCCATAAGAAAAATTGCAGTACAGCCCAAAAACCGGACAGTTCGAGCTATGAAGAATAAAAGCAAATCCTCACGAGAAGTTTCATATGCTCCAGGAAGTGTTTGCAGTCACTCGCCAAGCAACTTTTGCTCTTCATCCCAGTCATATAGACCAGCAGGTTCTCCTCTCCAGGGCTTAGGCCCTTCTCAAACGAACTTGGCCACTAAATTGAGACATTCCAGTCACGAACTCTGGCCTCGTCAAAGGGAGGAGGAGACTAATGTTGACACAGGCAACAAAGTGATCCTTTCCGAATGCAGTGATTCGCCACTAAATAGATTTTCACACGACATACAGAAAGCGCTTCTTCAGTCTCAGGCATCCTGCTGTTTGTTAACGGGATCAGGCTCCACAATCAGCTTGCACTCTGAGGGCAGAAACAATCTGTTGTCATCACATATTGCCAAGAGGAATAAAGGATCAGGACAGGTACCATCAAGTTTTCCCTTGGGAGCACCTGAAACAAGCCGTGGAAATGGAAAGGATGAGGAAGAAGAATTCTTTATATGACTTTTTAAGTATAAATCTTGTTCTAGATTTTATTTTAAGTGCCTTATTTCTGAAATAACACTAAAGAACTATCTGTATGCTGCACAACGACTCTGTCCTTGTGTAGATACCCCAGCTGCCTATACTACCTTTTATGTTAGTGTTAAAAAAGAAAGGCTAAACGTAGTTTGCAAGAGAGCAAATAAGGTTATGGACTAGTGACTAATGCTAGGAGTTTAAAAAGAAGAAGAGGACTGTTAGAAGTTTCACACACTGGAGGAATACTGTGCAATAGATTGAAACAAGCCATTCATTTCAGTGCTCCACAAGCTCACTAGAATTCATTAGCATCCTGGGAGAGATGAACCTGTTCTGCTTCTATGAGCTTTCAGCATCCCTGTGCTGCCACCAGTTGGTGGCACAATATTTCCACATTCTAGAGAGATGCACTTAGCTATGCAGAAGAACTTCGCACTCATGTGACCAGAGATCTGAATTCATACAACAGCATCTCATTTAAGAGTCTCTGGGGAGCTGAACGGCTCTATTCCCATGGTTTGCATTTGGCTCCTCTTTGTGAGGGAGCAGCACACTTTGTGATTATGACTTTGCGCTAGGAGCCTTCCAGTCATCATGATGCTGCAGTTTGCTAACGTATGAATTTTACATGTTTGGTAGGTTGCGAAGTATATAAACTTCATGTCACACAATGTGAACTGAACGCTTTGGCTTTAGAGCTAGGATTGCTAGGTAACAGATTTAAGTGGCCTAGCTTGTGAAATCCCCTTTCCCTTGTGTGTGCTTAGTCCCTGTTAAAATCTGAATGTATGGGGCTTCTTTCTAGGAGATCTCTTTGTTTTATTATACTTGGTAGTGTCCTATAGCTGATTCTTGCATTGCATGGTGACTAGAGATAGAATAACTCACTGGTCTGAGTTTGGGCTGTTCCTCTTGATGGGGCTGCCCCTGTTTCCTCTCTCCCCTCCCCATTGCGCTGTACTTACACAAGCTGTTCAAAACTGCTCTACTGCTTATCTCTTGGAGTATATATCCCGTGTCATCTTTTTGGTTCCCCCGTGAACGCTAGGAAACACAATGTCACTATGATATTACTCCAGCTACTGAATGAATCCTGGCTGAGCCAAAGGTTTGCTTCTACTTTTTCTGGCTTCACTAATTATACTTTATAGCCAGATCTGGAGCGCAGGGAAACAGATACCAGTCTCCTTGAATGTGCTTTGACCCTATCACATTTCCAGCATGTGTGTCAGAGGAGGAGTTGAATGGGATATACTCTGTGGAAGTTAAGCCTTGCCTCAGGAACATTAAGGTATGCCAGTATATGAGTGTGTAGAAAATCATGACATGTATGGGTAGGTTATGTTGGATCTGCCTGGCTGGGGTAGGGATTTGCACACCCAACCCTTTGGGTAGGTACCAGCGTTGGCTGTTTATAAACAGCTGGTGGCTTTGGAGACCTCGACAGCATGACTGGGGAAGGAGGTCTGTCCAAAATGTTAACAAGCTGCTGCCAGCTGGGTAGGTGATACTGAGCCTGGACTGAGCCACGATTCGGCCTTAGTGCCAGGCAGCTTGCTTACAGCAGCGACCTGAGCAAATGTGTTTTTCTCTGTCTAATTATGCAATAATTCTTGGCATTGTTTTCATAGCGTTCCCCAGCTGTGCCACATTAAAAAATAATAATGCATTGTTGTCATGTATTGCTGTCTCCTCCTATGAAATGTACGGTTCAGCCTGCAGCATTCTTATGGGTGAGGAAAGGGCCTATTCCAGAAATAAAAGCATCATTTATACTTACAAAATAGGACCTATATTTTCAAACATGTCATCTTCTGCTCTTTTCACTTCTATACTCTTCCCCACAACCTCCAATTAGAACATTGTTCAAACCAGGGTCTCTTAACAAGACGTAAGTTAAACCAACGAGTGCCCCCACTTGGAAATCTTCAAGGCCTTACTCTGTATGCATGAGGGAAACTGCAGAGTTCTGAGGTGAAAGTTACCTTAGGAAGGGGGAGAGCTGAAGAGATTATGAAGGCAGTGACGAGAGTTTTAAATGTGAGAAGGGCTGTTTGTTTTACTTGTGAAGGTGCCCATGGAATCTGTCAACCCAAGGGTTGCAAGTTTCAAGGAAGCTTGCAGACAGTCAAATACGTTTATGAAGTGGCCCTGAAGGCCACACTCCTTCCCAGCTATTCCTGAGTTTGTCCACACTTCAGCAAAGGGGAAATCTGCAAAGTAGCTTCAGGTGCAGTACTAGAGGAGAAACAGAGAGAATGATCCATGCATGCAGGCTCATCCCTGGATACTGGCAATGTAATGGTAACACCAAGTAATGCACTGGATATGTGAAAGATGCAATATAGATCATGCACCATCAACACAGATTTCATATCACCTCTCATGAGTTGAGCCCGTATTTTTTTTAAAATTGATGCCATTCCGCTCAATTCAGCTCAGAGTCACCAACTCAGTTCAATTCTGTCTTCCTTTATAAGGTTGTGTAGGGCATTAAGCAATAACGCACTCCCATTTCTCAATGTGTGCTCTGTGAACAATACACTTGTGATTTCCTGCTTCAATTCACATTTAGTCATAAGGTCCCCATTTGGACATAAGGTCCCCAAATAGCAGGCAATATTGTGCTAATATTGTCATAAGGAACACCTGTTGCATACCAAGTCAGGCCACTGGTCCATATAGCTCAGTGTTAGTCACACTATGGACAAATAACCCATGGACCTCCATGTGTTGCCAGATTACCACTCCCATCACCTCTGGCCAGTGGCTCTGCTGCCTGAGGCTGGTATCCAACAACATCTGGAAAACCACAGATTTCCTATCCTTTGGACCAGCAGTAGCTCTCCAGGGTTTGAGACAGGATTCTTTACCAGCCCTACCTGGAGATGTCAGGTTGAACTAAGGGCCTTTTGCAAAACTGAGCAATGCCCCTTCCCTGAGAGAAGGGTAGTTGATAGGCATGGGATTTCTTAAAACCATGAACTAAGAAGATGGCTGCTGGATCAGCCAGAGGTCCATCTAGTCCAGTATCCTGTTCTCACAAGGGCAGATGAGAAGCCTACACATTGTCCAGCAGTCTTCATACTTGTGATCCCAGCAATGCTCTCTGCAAATTGGCATTAAATGTTGTTTGCAGAATTCTGACATCCAGCTAAATAGTTATGTTAGTAATTAAAGTGTACGTTGCAAAGACCTCTTTGAGTACTCCATTAATGCATGTACTTTTCCATGTAGGGTTTGTCATTTACAGATTCATTACCTCCAGGGGGGAAAGCACAATATGAGTGTTTAAGATAATGTCAGAAATGAGTTGATGCAGTCTGCTTTGCTTTCCAATTAGTATGCAGAACATCATTCTCCTCTGCCTATTAAGAAAACAATTCAGCAAACATCTTCATTTGCTATTGTGATTTTCAACATGAAGGTGTTTTTGTTGCACGCACACACCCTCCCAGCCAAAGAGCACTGCAAAGAATGAATCATGGCAATTGTCAGCCATCAGGCATGCCCAAGTGCTGCAGTGATTTAAATGATCAGGTGCCTTGCATTGCAGATTGGCAACATGGATGCTATTGGATTGGGTCAGGAGGATAAGGGAGGCAGAAGTGATGTTTGGAGGGGGGGGGTGCAAGGAAGTGCTAAAGTTTGCAGGCACTGCTGGATGCAACGTTAGGCCTCAGGCTACAATAGCATCTTTTGTCTAGCCTGAAAATAGCAGCAGAGTACTTTTTGCTTTGCTTTTCTGAGCTTTAGCTAACTAGTTACCAAGGAGCTGGAACAGCATTCTGTGGCATCTTGAAGACAAAACAGGAAAAGCTTTAGGATTTCTGCCCAGTGTGCCCTGACCAAAGGCCTGAGAATATGACTATGGACAAACTGAATCTCTGCAGCAACTCTCTCTCTCTCTCTCTCTCTCTCTCTCTCTCTCTCTCTCTCTCTCTCACACACACACACACACACACACACAGAGAGAGAGAGAGAGAGAGAGAGTGAGTGGTGGGATAGATTTGATTCTTTGAACAAAAGAATGCTTTTCTAACCTATGAGATGCTCTGTGCCCAGGGAGATATATATTATGAAAGGTTATATGTAACTGTCCTGAATGTTGTTGTTGTTTAGTCGTTGAGTCGTGTCTGACTCTTCGTGACCCCATGGACCAGAGCACGCCAGGCACTTCTGTCTTCCACTGTCTCCCGCAGTTTGGTCAGACTGTCCTGAATGAATAAATGAAATAGGACAGCTTTCACCAACCTGATGCCCTTCAGAAGTTTTGGGCTACAACTTCTATCAGTCCCAAGCAGTACGTTGGCAGATGGTGGCATAGACCCTTGCAAAAAAAAAAAAAATGAAGCTATACCACAGGTGTGGCTAGCCCCAGGCCTGGCAGTCTTGAGCTGGTTTTCCAAGACAATTTTTTTCTGTTCTCCCAAGACCCCAGCAATTTTGGCAGTAATGGCAAAATGGGAAAAAAATTAATAAGGTAATAAAATAAGCATGACACGGGGTGGGGGTGGGGAGAGAGGTTTAAACCCACCAGCCAGATGGGATGCAGATTGACACCCTTCCCAGTAATAAGACTGATCTATTGATGAGCATTGAGAGGGAAATAACCTGCAGATAACAACTGAAGAGCTGTGTCTTGGGCATATGTACCTACCATGCTGGGGGCTCCGGGGACAAATAAATCCAAGCAGTAAGACTGTGTAAATGTTCATAAAATGCCATGGTGAAAACACTGCATTAGAATAAGTTGTGCAGAACAGGAGAAGGTGCCGGCTGCTGCTGTTGAAATGCTTGCTTCGACTCAGCTGTGTGTGGTATGATCCCCATGCAGCATCGCCACCTTACGGTCAGAAGCAGCAACTTTTCCTAAAGGCTTTTTGCCGTTTACTTCTTGCAGGATCTTTTGTTTAGCTCTTAACACTATTTTGTCCAGTTCAGCTGCTTGCTGCCACTGCCCAGCATTCATGTAGCAGCACCAGCTGTTACATGAATGCATGGAACCTGCCTGTGAGGCTGCATGTCATGGCGCCTCCTCCCAGGGCTGGCCCAAGACATTTTGGCACCGCTCTTGAAGCAGACGCCAAAATGGCGTCTCCCTTCCTGTCTGGGAAGAAGGGGCGAGGAAAGATGTACATCAGGAACATGGGTCAAAGAAAAGTTGACATTGGGATCTGCTGCCCTAGTGAATCCTGCCACCCGAGGCAGTCGCCTCACCTTGCCTCATGGGTGGGCCACCCCTGCCTTCCATGTTTCCACATGCTGGGTCTCCCAGAACCAGTGCTGAGGATTCCCTTAAAAGGGTTTTGTCTGGTGTGTGACCTGCTAAAGAACTCTTGGAGTTGTCATAGGAGGAGGTGGACCTTTTCCTCAGTCGTCGAAAATACCAGCACCAAGAGGGCCCAAGAGCGACAACAACTATAGGACCAGAGTCATTGCACGGCTTTGGAGGATGGGCTCTACTTGTAAGCAATCCCTGAGGCGCCTTTTCTGCCAGCAGCTGTGATTAGGGTGTGGTCTGGGAGGCCAGATGTCTCCCTCTTGAAACTTGCCATTGATCTTCACCTTCGTGTTTCCTATGCTCCCATTAAAGGTAAAGGGACCCCTGACCATTAGGTCCAGTCATAACCGATTCTGGGGTTGCGGTGCTCATCTCGCTTTATTGGCCGAGGGAGCTGGCATACAGCTTCTGGGTCATGTGGCCAGCATGGCTAAGCCGCTTCTGGTGAACCAGAGCAGCGCACGGAAATGCTGTTTACCTTCCGGCTGGAGCGGTACCTATTTATCTACTTGCACTTTGTGCTTTCGAACTGCTAGGTTGGCAGAAGCAGGGACCTAACAACAGGAGCTCACCCCATCACGGGGATTCAAACCACCAACCTTCTGATCGGCAAGCCCTAGGCTCAGTGGTTTAACCCACAGCGCCACCCGTGTCTCTCATGCTCCCATTAGGTGTTAGCAATATGGATGACCCTGTAAGACTTATAAGCAGGGGTTGCTGAACGTTATTTGCAAATGTAAGGCATTCCAGAATTTAGACACTATGTGAGGCAGCTTCTTAAAATATTTCAGTACAGCTGGTATACTGAATATAAGAGGTGTACTGCCTCTTATATCAGATGTGAATAGGACAATTTGGGAGTGAAGCACATCCTGGCATCAATATAGATTCAGCATAGAGAGGTTTCTGCATGAATGGAGAACACTCCTCAAACGTTATAAACTGTCTGTTCAGATATCAGTATAAAAGCAGATTGTCAGCTTTTTATTAGAAGGAAATATGTATATTGAGAGGAGGGAGGGGACATCCGCCTCCAAGGTCTCCGAGTAAAATCAAAAGAATTTCTCCTGCCATCCAATTTAACCTGCTGCTATGAGGGTATGGTTCTGACCAGCAGAGGGTGGTGTGCCCTTAACTTGCACCTCCCAGTGGACAAAACCATTCGAGACACCAGTTGTATAACAAATCAGACTCCTGGTGTTCCAGTAAAATGTGTGTGTTCCTAGTGTAGAGTCCTGACAACTCTGTCCTCTGATGCCTTTTCTGTGAGCGCTGTTGACAGGCTGTCACATCAGTTTGCATCACACACACACACACACACACACACAGTGCAGTAGGCCCCAAGTCATTTTTTGGTTGAGTTCAGGACAGACTCGTGACACCAGCCCTCATCCCATT